GGATGGCTCAGGGGGCGAGCTGCTGCCCAAAGCATGCCAAGCACCCATGGGTGACTCCCACCACAACATCCCACCTTCACAGCAGAGCCAACTGCTCTGCCTGCAGAGAACCACGGGCAGAGGTGTGGAAACCATCACATCTGGAATACTGGTAAGTGGGGGGCAGACAAAGCTTGGCAGGGAGGGGGCACCCCAACAACCCTCAACCAGCAGCCCCTTCCACAACGAGACTGGGCCAAGCTCTGGTGCAGGAGGGAGCCCAGGCCACATCCCTGGAAACAAAGCCAAGATTCCCTGCAGGGAGCTGCACCAGTCCCCGGCGTGTTTCTTGGGCTTTCCTGGAAATTCGGAGGGGAGCAGGTTTCCCGTGTCCGAACAGGGACCGCGTCCCTCCGCTGGCACCTCTGTGCTGCAGCAGAGCGGGCAGGGACGGGGCAGAGGGCAGCTCTGTCCTGCGCATCCGCCCTAAAAAGACAGCACACTCGTGTTTCCACGTTTTTTTATTGGCAGTTCTAGGGAGAACAGTTCATTTCTTCTTCTCCACATCCTGCTCCGCCGCTTCTTTGGCGCGTTTTGCACGAATGCCAAAGAGCCGGGCGTTGGCCCGGGCCATGCGCAGGCTGGCGAAAGCTTTGAAGTTCTTCTCGTCTTCTGAGATGACACGGGCCTTCTCCCGTTTGAACACCTGGTGGGAGAGAGTGCCAGGCAGTCAGCCCGCGCGTCGGGGGCTCCGGGAGAGGACGGCATTTTGGGCTTAACACGATCCATCTCGCTCCGTTTTCACGGCGCTGCCAACTCGGAGCAGTTCTGCCATCTACAAGCCCTGCCCTCATCGCCGCTGTGCCAGGAACCTTGTTTCAACCCGCTCCCCGTTTCCCAGCGCAAGACCAGAGCATCCCAGGGAAAAACAAGCACGACATCTCCGAGTCAGGCTGGTGGCACCTTTTGGAAACACTAAGGGTCTGGAGACAAATGGTGACCACGCAACCTGCCCAGGCTGTCGCGGTGCCAGCATGTGCCCCACACCCCAGCTGGCAGCCCCAGTGCCCCACGTTTCCCAGGTACGAGCTCCCTCAAAGGTGCAAGCGGGCACACGTCCCCTGAGCCTGCCTGGAGGACGCGGCACTGCGCACGAACACGCACTGGAAACGCTCCAACCCGTGCCCTCACTGGAACTGTGCCATCTGGGGGGCATCACACAGGGCTGGCTCTCCGCGGTCACCACTGGGGAGCACACACCCCACGTGGGATTTAGGGCAGAAGTGCAACACGTCCACAATCATTCCCAACCAACACATCTCAACTCGGACCCCTGACATCCCCGAGTGTGCCTGGAGCTCTCCTCTGGGCCAAACACAGTCTGTGGTGTAAGGCTCCTCCGAGTTCCTTGCCTCCTGCTTTGCAACACGGAGGAAGCAAAGAGCTCACGGTGCGAGGAGGAGACAAGGAGATGCGGGCCCTGTTCCTGGTTTTCTCTGGGAAGCGCCTGGACTCTGCAGAGCGGCAAGGAGAGCGCCCTCCCCACGAGGTGCAAGTCTCGATTACGCCACGCAGAGAACACGATTTTATCACACTCACGTTCTTGATGGGCATCACCGGTCCGGTCAGCTGAGTCGCCATCTTGAGTTCCTCGGCCTGCAACAAAGCGACAACCAACATCACTGACAGGCCCCAGTACTTCACTTCAACACACCACTAACGATTCCGGCTGGAGATCCAACCCCGACTGGGAACGGATCAGTGCTTCGGTCACGCAGCCACGGCAAGATCGGGCACAGACGTGCCGCACCAACAACCCGCGTCCTGCCCGCCCACCGATCCGCCCGGATCTGGCCGGAGGAGCAGCGGCCTTCCGGCTCCATCAGCTGGAAAAGCGTTTACCTCCACCGTGCCGCTTTTAGTTGGATACCCATATTCCTCAGAAAACCCTTCCAAGGTTAATTCCAGCTCCTTCCACGAGTACAGCACTGCATAGAGATTTCGATTAAACAGATTCGGAACGGCGTTCCAGGTGCCAGTCTCTGCACCTGCTGGAACAGCAGCTCGAGACTCTCCCTCCGGTTTGGAAAAGCAGCCCCACGACTGCGGGGTCCACGGGCCACATGGTGGTTCAACACCTCGGAGCCAACGCTCTCTGAAGATGGAAGACAGCTGCAACACCCCACCTTGTCCGAGACTTGCCCAGGGAAGCACACACCTACCACAGGCAGAGCCACGGACTGCCAGGAAAAGCCAGCTACCCCTGGATCTCAGGGAGATTTTCATGGAAAGCGATTCTGTACGTCACCAGCAACCATCTTCTCACGGCTGCCTTACGCACGGCTTTCACTAAGAAGTTTGTCCTCACCTTCCTCACCCCTCCCATGCAGCCACTCCCGCAGAACAGAACTCCAGAGGGGGTCTCCAGCCACTCCGACAACCAAGCCCCACCAACCAAATCTCGGCTGGCTGGGCAACAATCAAAGCTCCACCAAGCAGCTTGTCTGAGGAGCCCAGCCCCGAACCCGAGCTGCACCGCTTCAGCAGCACGATGCCCCCGGAAAGCGTTACTGGGACCCAGCAGCACGACACCCCTGAAAGCGTTACTGGAACCCAGGAGACCCTCTGCCAGAGCTGGCGCTCCCAGGCCTGGCCTGGCACGAGGCTCAGCCACCCCCACGTAGGTGTGGGTGAACCATGCTGCCCCAGAGAAGGGCTGCTCCCCCCGGGGGGGCCACGTTCAGGAGCACTGCCCGATGGCACACCATGGCACCGGCTGGGCACCACCAGGAACAGATCCCGTGAAACGTTTGTCGTGGCCCAGTACTCACGGAGCTGTCTCCCTTCTTTGGCATAGCCGGCTTCCTTGGGAAGAGGATGAGCTTGGAGCGGTACTCCTTCAGCCTCTGCACGTTGGCCTGCAGGGACTCTGTGGACTTGTTGCGTCGCCGGGGATCCACGGAGATGCCAATCGTCCGGGCAAACTTCTTGTTAATGCCAGCGAGCTGAAGAGATAGCGCACAGCGTCAGCACCCGCCGCTGCCAACCGGAGCCTGCTCCGGGCTCCGAGCGCAGCCATCACGGGCTGGAGTCTGGAAAGAGCCTCAGCACCCAACCCAACGGCCCGTGGGCTGAGAGAGGGGCTGACCGTGCCACAGACAACGGGCACCCTGGTGCCTGTGATCTCACAGACACCCGCAGATTTTACAGCACGGGATTTTTGCACATGGAGCTCCTCAGGAGAGCAAAGCCCAACTCCTGAGTAACCACGCGGGGGATGTTTAAACTCTGATACACGAAACACAAGTTGACGAAGCCAGCACACGGATAACTCTGGCTCCCTGAATACTGGGAGCTCCATTAAAGCAGCGTTTTTTGTAACCACCTTAAACAAGAACAACGTCGTTCTGCGTTTAAAGACAAACATCCACGTACCGTTTTGTATCCCACCGTTATGAAAAATTAAAGAAAAATAAAGTCAGGAAGCATTTGGCACCCAGGAGAACAATTTCCCTGCTCCGACGCACCGATTCCTCCGTTATAAATGTTTTAATTAGAGACTGAACAGCCGTTTTTTGTAACCACCTTAAACAAGAACAACGTCGTTCTGCGTTTAAAGACAAACATCCACGTACCGTTTTGTATCCCACCGTTATGAAAAATTAAAGAAAAATAAAGTCAGGAAGCATTTGGCACCCAGGAGAACAATTTCCCTGCTCCGACGCACCGATTCCTCCGTTATAAATGTTTTAATTAGAGACTGAACAGCACACGAGGCGGCTGTGGACGCCGGCTGCCAGCCAGGACTGACGGTTTACTCTTC